TTTTAATCGATCACCAAAAAAAAGAAAAGATTAATGAGATGACAAGATGAACACTTGTGATATATACCCGGTTTGATTTTTTTTTCTTGTCAAGTAAAAAAATATTCAAATAAAAGTTGTCTTGAAATTAGAATTTGATATTCTGGTTGACAAATTTTTTTTTTGTTTTGTTTTGTTTGGAATGTTGTTTGTCGAAACGAAACGAATGAAAAAAAAATGCATCGTCTCTCTTCTTCTTTATCGAATATGTTTATATATTCAATTCTCACGTTTCAGACAATGAAGAAAAAAATCCCATTTTTTTCGTTGCATGCACAAGCTTATTGTGTTTGTGTGTTAGTCACCTAAAGAAAATCATATATGATTCAATCATCGCCAATCGAAAATTCATTGAATGCAGCGAGAACAAAAAACTAGTGTAGTGAATCGAAATTCGAAGACGAAGAAAAGTAGAGGATTTTCTTGGTAAAAGAAAAAAAATTGAAATTTCATTTTTTTTGTGTGTGTACATTCCACAATTGAATTCAAATTCAAATTGTAAATCTTTGCATCATGTGTGTGTGTGTGTGTGTGTGCGAATAAAAAGAGATATTTGATACATTTGAAAAAAAGGTAAGTGTAAAAGAAAGAAAGAATGAATGAAATGAATCCAATATCGAGAAAAAAACCTAATTTAAATTTTTTTTTACAAATTCGAAAAAAAACATTCTAATTCCATTCGTTGTCATTCTGGTTACGATTTCATATTTTGGTTTTTTTTTCTTCTCACTCTTTTTTTCTTTCTCCACAATGTCGATGATTTGGAGAAAAAAAAATGACAGAAAATCAACAACAACAACAAAAAACGCATCAAAAGATTAGGCGTGGCAATTTGAATGACAAAAAAAATTTTCAAACAAAAAAAAATTGTCAAGAAAACAACTTGAACCACGACAACAACATGTGAAATTGAATTGAAAAACCAAAAAAAAAAAAAAAAAAAATGAAATGAAATGGGAGTATAGAGCGATTGACCAATTAAAAATGATGATGATGAAACCCGGAACTGAAAGAAAAAAAATCTGTCAAATTCCATATTCGATATATACATAGTCGATATAAACGTAAAATTGATTGATTGGCATTTAAAATTATCTCGAAAAAAAAATCAAACAAAAAAAACTGACAACAACAACTTTAGGACAATGATCCAGAAAAAAAGGTGAAACCAAAATTTATGGATGGAACAAAAAATGAAAAAAAAAGATTTTTCCAAATTAACAACCATTTGGACAAACATTTAAATCTACAATGAATGAATGATGTGTTTTTTTTTTTTGTTTATTCAAATCCATTGATTGATTATCATTTCGATGCTGATTTTCGTTTGTTTGCTTTCAAATGAATTCTGTGAATAAATTTTTGTTTTTTTTCTTATATTTCAATCAATCAGATTTAGAAATAAAAAAAAGGCTACAACTTTTATGAATGATGATCGTCATGGTGGCCATCACCGTTCTTTTTTTTTGAAATTCATTGAAAATTGCTTTATCGAAGAAAAAAATGATTTATTTTTCTTGATAAATAAAATTAATGTTCATGTCGTCGTTGTCGTCGTCACACACACAAAAACCGTATGGATGACAAGAAAAAAACAAATTTTTTGACGAAATCATCAGTTTTTTTTACTCGCTGATTTTCATGAATAAACCGAGCGAAAAATTCAAATTCTCCTTCTACTCCTGATTGATGGTTGAATGGATAAATAAAATTGAATAGAAAAAAAACGAAAGAAACACTTAAACATCTAACACACACACACACACAATGGATTTCTTGATCGTCATTTCAATCATGCCTGGTTGCTGTTGTTCTTTTATATTTGTTGTTGTTGTCATTGTTGTTGTTGTTGTTGATGGTGATGATTGATGTATTTTAATGTTTTGGTTCAGGGTAAATTATGATTATGAAAATGGTGTATGTGTGTATGTGTGCCTGTGTGAGAATCAAAATAACCAGAATATGGAATATTAAAGAAAAAGTATGGGAAAAAATGGAACAACAAAAAAGAAGAAAACATGAGGTTAATACACACACGAAGGTATTCATTTCATTTTTTACAGAATTTTGATATTCAACAGAATAATAATCGCGATGATTTGTGTATATGGGAAGGAATCATTTTTTCCGGTGTCTGATGGTGATGATGATGATGATGATGATGATGTATCGGTTTGGATTGATTAACGTGCAACAGGAAAAATATGGAAATCAGAAAACAAACAAAAAAAAAAGAAGTAGATGATGATGATGATGGACAAACATTAATTAATAAACACAATTTGTTTGGAATATTTACGTGCGGAATAAAAAAAAAACAAACAAAACCTAGAGAGAAAAAATGGCCAGGATCAGATAGTTTTCAGTTTATTTTTTTTTTATTATTGAAACCAGTGTTTATGTGTGGATGAATGAATTTCGAAATAAATCCGATGCTTGACATCCGGCTGACATTTTTTTTTAGTTTCTACTCCTGGATACATACGATAATTGTTTGCTTTTTTTTCTTGTATTTTGTCCACCAGAAAAAACGAGGAAATTATTGGTAATAATAATAGATCATCAGATGGGATTGTCGGACAACAAACAACAACAAATTCTGGAACAAAATGGACCATTATGGATTTTTTTAAAAAATTCTTTTCAATTATTTTTGTGCAAAGCTATAATTTTCAATTATTTTTCACTTGAAATATCCTGGTTTCATAAAATCCATCCACATCACACACACACACACACAATCATCACTACGACGACGACGACGACCAAAAAAATTTCAGATCCACTAAAACAAAAAAATAAAAAGCTTAGATGTCAAACACCCACATTTCATACACACACACACACAGAGACTGAGGTTTCACAAGACAAAACAAAACAAAACAAAAAAATTTACAGTAAAATTAAATTACAATTTAAAGAGAATAATAATTTTTTGTTTGCTTGTTCAATTTCTATGAATGAATGAATGAATGAATTAACAGTGCACACTGAAATCCGGTAGCTTAATATTCCGGTACATTCAAGAAACAAATGAAAAAGGAAAATTTTTTGTTGATAAATTTTTTCTTTGGCTTTGTTTATAAGAATTATACTCATTTTCAACTGTCTATCTGTGTTTGTTTGTTTTTTTGTGTTTCTAATGGATTTGGACAGCATCATGATGATGATGATGACCAACAAGAAGCGAGTACCGAAAGCTTTTTTTTCGATTTCACTCGTTATTAAGTTTCACCGTAACACACAAAACAATTAGATAGATAGATAGCAAATGATGACAATTGAATTGGATGTGAAATGAAATGAAAGAAAGAAAGAAATCAAAGAATCCATTTGTGTGTGTGTGTGTGCGTGTGCATGTATCTGATAACGAAATGGTTAGAAAAAAATAGAAATTAATTCAATTTGAAATAAAAATGTTCTTTTTTTTGACTGTCGATCTGTCTATCTTTTTTCCGGTTTGTTTTTATTACCGGATTCAAATTACAAAAAAAAGTGGATTGAAAAATTGAATTTGCAAAGTTTTGATTCGGCCAACAGATGGCACGATCATTCATTTTGTAGTATTATAATATAATATATTGTAGTGTATTCGATAATAACTACATTTATTCAACTAAACTCAAAACGTAACTCATCCCCACTCATCTGTTCGACTCGGGGTTAATCATTAATGACGTTATGACGCCACCACATTTCTCCCCCCAACCCAAACCGGAGGACGTCAAATTATATGGAAAAGAAAAAAAAATAATTTTGAACAACAACAAAACAAAACAAAAAAAAAATTAATAATTTAAAAAAAAAAAAAAAAAAAAAAAATCAACGTCGGTGGTCACCAATATGTAGTGTATTCGATAACTACATTTATTCAACTAAACTCAAAACGTAACTCATCCCCACTCATCTGTTCGACTCGGGGTTAATCATTAATGACGTTATGACGCCACCACAATATAATATTAATATATAAATATATATATTATATATGAACGAAGAAAAACATACTGGTTAATAGAATTGTTCCGGTGGTAACACGTGATCATGAGCAAGTGGCTAGCGCAACATTTTCGAAACATTTACTGCATTTGTAAAACGTTTGTTGATATTTTTTCGATCAATTAGAATAGATTTCGATTTGTTATGTTGATTAGTGTGTTATCATCATCATCATCATAACTGAGATATCATCACAAGTCATCTCATATTCACTTATGCGAAGAGACTCCTCTTCACTTGCTTACGGACTGTACTCACACACAAAACATAATCTCCAAATTTTTCACCACAAGAACACCACACCAATACATAGACACAATACAAAACTACATAGCATTTACACACATATGTAAATACATACTAACTAGAATACAACACAGGACACAACACTAATTCTTTCTTTTTTGTAAATATTCTTCTTTTTCATCGGTACAAGAGTCTTCGGACTTCGTGCCATTTAAATTTTCAAATAAAATTATTATTATTATTATCATATTCACTTATTCACTAAAATTACTTTATATTTAAATTACGTAAAAAATTCTGGACCAAATAGATCGTATGTAGATTTCGATTTCGATTTCGATTTCAATTTCGATTATGATGACGATGACAATGATGATGTTGACGATGACGAAGATGATGATGAAAAAAAAAAAAAATAAATCACAAGAAAACTGAACATAGAATAAAAAAATGATGAATTTTTTGCGAAAATTTTTCAAAAATTTTTTTTCAATTGATTATCGAGAGCTATTTTCAGTGTTAAATGAAATGAACTGAGAAACTCTCTTTCTCTGACTCAAATATCATCATCATCATCAATTTAAATTTATCACTTGAATGTTTTTGTGTTTGTTAAAGTGATTCACTTTTATCTCATGTTTTATTAACAAACAAAAAAAAACGTTTTTTGTTTCTTTTTTTTCTTTAAAAATACAATTTACAATTTTCTTTTTATTTTACAATCGCATCTCATCGATCGACAATCGATAATCATTTATCTTGTTTTATTCGCATTTTTATCTTGTGGTTTGCAGAAAAAAAAACAAAAATTCAATAATGGATTCAATCATTTTACGTGGACTTTTAGAATATTTCATCCGTGAACGTGTATTGGTCATTGGCGTGAAAGGTAATTTGTTTAGTGTTGTGTTTTTTGAATCATTTTTTTTCACAAATTTTTTTTGGGTTTTATTTCAGGATCAGGAAAAACAAAATTGATTGAAAAATTAATGGATTTACAATATTTTGATGTTGAAAATTTTAACTTTAATGAAGAATTAACAGATCATACACGTGAATTATCACAGCTATCAATATCGACAACATCGTCCTTATCATCATCATCATCATCACCATCTTCGTCGTCGTCGTCCAGTTCACGTTTATCTTCTTTGCTATCCATTCAATCATCATCTTCGTCGTCGACAACATCACATATAACAAGATCATTATTATCATTGTCATTACCGGATTCGAAAGCAGCAACAACATCTTCTCGACAATCTTTACAATCACCACAACCATCATCATTACCAACAAATTCAAACTCAATAATAATGAATCGTATGAATCAAATTCTTGAGCAAAAACTAAAAATGGATCATTCATCGAAATTTTTGGATTGGCTTGTATCATCTCCATCATCATCATCATCGTTAAAAACTGCTAGTAACTTAATAACAATATCGACTACTGGTACAAATCCATCACCATCAAAAATAGTATCAAATGATTTGAATAGTCACAAATCAATTTTTTATTTATTATCGAATCGTACAGCAAAATTATTTAGTGAAAATTATTATTATCTAAATTATTTGAAAGAAACCAATATCATAATGCGTATATGGGATGTTCATCCAGAAAATTGGCAAATATTTCTTAATCACCGTTATAATCGTCCACAAACATTGATTGCTGTCTATAATGCCAATGATTTGCAGGAATTGAACAGGATTCGTCAACCAATTGAAAGTTTGTGTTTGTTTGTTGTTTTTGCTAATTAAATTTGATTAATTCATTTTTTTTCAATTTAGAATATTTGAAAAAATTATCCATCGAACAACGTAGATTGTTATCAATTTACATTGTTGGTACCAAAATCGATCAAGGACAAACACAACCTTTAACATATGGATTACGTAAATGGATTAATGATAATCGAATTAGACATTTGTATATATCAAACTTGTGGAATAAAGGTATCGATCTATTGCGTTCATGTTTATTGGATGATATTTATGGAAAACATCGTTTGAATCAACTTTTTATTCATCGTGATTATTTATTGGATTTATACATCCGCACAATTGGTTATTGTCCAACCATTGTTTATGATTCATGTATTGCATTTGATAATAATAACCAAATATTTACAAAATCCCAGCGTGGTGGTGAATTTGATTCGAATAACCAACAGCAACCACAATCCAGAAATTGTCATCTTTGTAAATCAGGTTCTCGTCCATTACGACCGATTGATTTTTCGCGACTAAAAAAAGATCCAAAATCAATGTATGAATTTCATTTAGCATTGGAAAATATTTGTCAATGTCTGGATCATTTAATTTTCACCACTGTATCATCCCAATCGTCGCAATCGTCACAATCACAGTCATCGATATTGAATCCATTATTAACAATACTTGCCGAACAAAACAAACGAAAATCGATCAAATGATGGTCATGTTTGATAAGTGTATTTTTTCTTTTTGGATTCTTTTTACTTTTTCACATCCCATTCAACACATGTATAGACAAAATTTGACGATGAATTTTTCCATTTCTTTCCTTTTAAATTTAATTGATTTGTTTTTCCATTTTTTAAACTAATCTGATTATTATCATGCTTTTTACATGCAAACAAACAGACAGACAAACATTAAGAATTTTTATGCGTTAAAATTATCAAAATATTTATCAAAATGAAATAAATCTCAAATAAACTTTCAAGTTATCAAGAATTTGAATCAATAAATAAAGTCCAATGATAAAGTTAATTGTTGTTGTTGTTGCTATGAAAAAACAGAATAACAACAACAACAACAACAACAACTACTACCTATTGATGGCTTCAGGAAAAACAGCTCCACCATCTGTTTCAGTTCAATCTAAAGAAAATGAAATCGATTTTCACCTTAATGTATGTTTTATCGTCGGTAGTCACGACATTAATTGATGATGACAATGATATAACCTGAACATGCATACATACATGCACTCAGCTAACGTTTATTGGTCAGATCAATATATTGTCCTTGTTATTTCTTCTTCGAGAATATTCCATACACAACAACAAAAAAAACATAAAAAATTTAAAACATTTTTTTTGAATCATTTTAAATTTTTTTTTATTATTTGCAGAAACAAAAGTTTTCATCTGGGATTCGGTTACCTTGGTGAGTGTTTTTTCTTTGGTTTGTTTAAACCTTAAGAAGAAAATATTCACGAATTTTATTTCAGAAAATTATTTTCAAAATCAAGTAGTCGCACACACACACACACACACACAGAGCAAAAATCCAACTATTTATGTCTTGTATGGGTGTGTGAATCTTTTTTCGTCAAAGTGTTTGTTATCTGTGCGTGTGTGTGTGTGTAACATTTGGTCTAAGTGACCGAGAAAAAATAACCGAAAATAACGATCGTGCGTTATCCATACGCATTCATACGAATGGATTTGAAAATTTCCATCACGAAAAATCCATCATCATCCACAACAACATCCAACACACAGCAACGATCATCATCAACATTTAATAAATCGGAATCAAACGGACCAATAGTGATTCCGGATAATCAACAGCAACAGCGACAACGAAATTCCGAAATAATAGCATTACCATTGATTGAAGAATTTCAACATTTCAAAATCGAGATTAATGAACATTTACAAAGATTGGAAACATTATTGGAACGTTTCAAGACAATCATAAGAATTAATTATACAATCGATAATCAAGAACAATTATCACCAAAGATGAATACGATTACACCGACATCACAATCAATGAAATCGACACCATCATCATTGGATATGGGTGGTGATGATGATTTACGCAACGTATTGACCGATATTGACCAACATTTGTCCATCCTGAAAGAGATTGAACAACGTAACTCATTTGTTTGTGAATCATTTTCCCGCGAGATACGTTCACGTGATGAAGCATTATTGGATAAAATGCGACAAATCACTCTGATGAATCATGAATTGGCTACAATGCAAGCGAAAATACAACATTTGGCGATGAAAAATTCACATTTGGAAAATGAAATTAAATATCTAAAGGTATCTAACTCGGTGGCTAACTATTGCTTTGTTTAAGTTTCCAATTTTTGTTCCTCATTCTAGACAGCATCATCAGTCACGAATACAGAAGCATCATCAACACCGGTTGGTGTTAATGATTTGGAACGTATTCATCATCAGATTGTTATGGATCAACATCATCAGCAACAGGGGCAAGGACATGGATTTTCGTCGTCGTTGATCGGTTGCCAAGGCCAACAACCATCACAACAACCACTGCAATCATCATCAACAATCGAATCGAAATTAATGAATAATAATGGTATACCGCTTTGCTGATGATGATGAGATATGATAGGAAAAACAAAAAAAATTGTTTTTTTCTTTGTAAATCATTCGAAAGAAAACAATTTTTTTCATTTCCACATTGATGATGAAATGGAAACACCTTAGAAAATTATTGATTTTTTTGTTTGCTTTCTTCATTTTCTAAAGTTTCACTTTTAGTTTTTTTTTCGGAAAATTTTCTAATTTAAATTTTCCTCTTCCTTCTTTTTTTTTGTTTGTTTCGTTTTTTATTATTATTATTCACTTTATTTTCACGCACACACACACACAAGGTCAATCGATCCAAATGGAAAGAAAATTTTCGGAAGGCTACCTGTCTGAAGTATCTATAATACCAGCGGCTGTACGTCATAAACAACAACAACAACAACAATTGGATGATGAAAAAACGGTTGACATAGATGATGATGATCAGATGATGATGTTGAAACCATTGATACCACCGCCACCACCACCACCACTTACACAATCATCATCTTCAATTTCAAAAGATAATAATCAACAGAAAGATGCCATCTATCATGATCTACTTGTACAATATCGTAAAATTGAACAATTAATACAGCAAAGTCGTACTTATAAAATTAGTAATTATGGTGAGTCAAGTTTTACAAATTTGATTTGTATGATAAAATTGAATTTGATTTGATTTTTTTTACTCACCAAGAAAACGTTGCTGACAAAGATGTTGATGGAAATTCAATATCATCGAATGATATAAATACATACATTATCGATCAACAGCAACAACAACAACAAGAACAACAGCAGCAGCTACCGGCATTGATATTGAATAATGATGGAACAACAAATGAATCATCATCAATCGATAATAATAATGATGGAAAACTAGCTGAAAATGAACAATCATTAAATTCCACTACACCAGCAACAGTTGTAGAAGTTCCATTAACATTGTCGAATCATCATCAACAACATTTGGAATCACAAAATGAACAACAACAACAACAACAAGATGAAAACGAACAACAAGAACAAAATGAGCAAGAAGAAAATATGAAAAATCAGCAAAAATCAATCGATTCAATCCATTATAATCAACAACAACAACAACAACAATCATCAACGACAATGATAATGGATAATGAAAATGAAGATGTTGTCACAACATCGATAAAAGCATATGAACATTTTGTTAAAATGCAACACGATCTTGAAACATTGATGAAAAAAGAGAATGAATATCGTAATCGTATTATGGAATTGGAACAAGAAAATCAACGTTTGGATCAAAAAGTCAAAGATGATGAATTCACATTGAGTGATGTGCAATATGAATTGGAAATTCTGAAACATAATTATGAATTGGAAATTGAAAGTTTCAGTACAGCCATAAATGAACGTGAAAGTTTGATTGAAAAATTGCAGCAAAAAATGCAAAGTTTAAAAGCACGATATTTTAAACTAGATGAACGATTGAAAATGGCTGCAAAATCAGAGATTGAATTCCAAACACGAATTGAAGAATTGGAAGGAAGATTAAAATATGAAGAGCTACAGAAACAGACAATGATTGATTCTCGGCTGAATGAAATGGAACAAAAACTTCATGATGAACAAAATGAATATCAAATGGATATTAATAATTTAAAAACAGATTTATCTTGTTCGGAATCTGTTGCGAAAGAATTGCGATCGAAAATTGATGAATTGGAAGCATCATTGAAAAATATGGGTAAACTTTGTTTTGGTTTTTTGTTTTTCTGAACATAATCCCAATTTTCTCACTCCGAATCATTTTAGCATCAGCTGAATTTGAAGATGAATTTGTCTATTATAAAAATCAAATCGATAGCCTAGTGAAAGAATTGGATAAAGAAAAACAAGAACGACAAAGACAACAGGAACAATTTGAACAAACAATTCGTTCGAAAGATAAACATTTAGATCAATGTAAAGAACAGATGAAAAAGGAGAAAGATTCAATGATACGTGAGTTTTATTTTTTGTTTTTAAAATGAATGAATGCTTTTTTTGATCGCTTTCCACCATAGGTGAAAAAACTGAATATGAACAACGTTTCCGTAAAATGATGGCTAAATTGAAATCGAAAGAAAATGAAATCAAACAACTGCAAGAAAAAGTGGTGGTATTGAATGAAAAATTTAAGCCACGACCTCAACGACAAAGACAACAGCAACAGCAACAGCCCGATAAATCTGATAATAATGAAAACATTGATGATCAAACCAATGATGGACAACTGTTAGCTGAATTAGCATTGAATGAAATAAAATTGACAGAAATGACCACTCGGCTAGATGATCAACAGGAACAATTGCGCCAGATGGAACAACAGCTTGAAAATGAAAGACAACGACGAAGACAATTGGAAACATTTTATTTGAATTCATTGAACAATAATAATAATGGTGATGTTGATAATTATTATCATCAACGAACGTTGTTCACTTCTCTCGATGATGATTATGGCAATGATGGAAGTGATAAAAATCTTATTCACAATCTAAATATTCAAAAAAATGGTAAATTACAATCAATGGACTTTTGGCAACAGGTAATCTAATAATTCGATTGATTGGGATTTGAAACTAAATTTTTTTCCATTTAAAATTCAGGATGATCATCATCATCATTTTCATAGTAATAATACAAATGTCTATAATCCATATTCACAATCAAGTTTGGCTTTATCGATGGATGATCATCAACAATCATTATCATCATCTTCTCAGCCAAGTTATCCTGGTCAAGAACTGTCTTTATATACCAAGATGAAACGATGGTTACGACGGCAGAAAAATATCCTATTATTTGGATCGACAAGATCAAAATTTAATCGCATCATTATCGTTGTCTATCTTTTATTGATACATTATTTGGTTTTCATTTATTATTCGGATAAAAGTCATAATCAAATCAGCGGTGGTCATGGCCAATCACCTGTCATAAATGCAGATGATGATCATCATCAACAACAATTCGTTGTCGATCAAAATTCTGATCCATTTATTATGGTAAAAGAAGATGATGATACATGATCCATTTCTTGGTTCTCGTTGATTTAACCAACGAAAATTGCGATTATTCAATTCATTATTGCTACTTATTAGATTCAAACAGACAAAAAAATAATCAACAAACTCAACTCATATTAATTAGAATGATTCACTAACCAATTCATCACTTATTATAATTGAATTATTGTTTATTGTTTCTGAAATTGAATAAAAAAAAATTTGAATGTTTCAATGATAACATACTATATCGCCATCTATGGTTTGAAAAATAAAACAATTTTTGTTTTCAGAAAAATTCCGCAAGTGTTTTGTTATTGTTTATCGAAAATATTTCCATGTATTATTTCCAAACAACAACAACAATTACGCGTTAGCTATAACGATATGAAACATTGATGATGATTATGTTTCATATCATCAAATCAAATCGATATGTTTATTATCAACAATAAAAAAAAACATTAAATTCGTCCTCCCTCGCCGTTTGGTTTGGCTGTTTAGTTCAACATGGTAAATGTTGTTCTTGTTTTGTTTTACTGTTTTCATTTTTGTTTTTTCTTTTTCAATCTCAACAGATCGTATTCATACATCGACCAATAAAATGATCATCATTTTTATTGGATCTCAAATTAATTGATTCTTTTAATTTTCATGAATTCATTCCACTACATTTTTTTTCTTCGAAACATGAATCTGGTCATAATTTTATCATATTATTTCATTCTAATTCCAATCATAATCTTTGCTGCTTTACTTACATCATTATATTTATATTGGAAATTTAATTATGAAAATTCATCTGATCAAATCAGTTTCTATCAAAATGATGACCATCAAACTAATAGACCATCATCATCGAATGATAATTCAAGTCCATCACCGTCATCATCAGCGTCATCATCGACAACAAAATTCAATGATCGTATTGTGATGACAAAAGAAATTGATAAACTTTTATGTAAAATTGTTGATAATATTGTCGAATATTATGTTATGACTTGGTATCGTCCATTAATCATTTCATCGTCATATTCGTTGCATGATACAGATTGTCAATATTATCAACATAATGTTCGAAAACAATTGGTTCAACGTCTTCATACATTACTCAGGTTTTTCTTTTCTTTTTTTTCATCATAAATTTCAATCGATTAAACATTTGTTTTTTTTTGTTCCCTTATAGAGATGACATTTGGATATTATTATCATGTTTCATTGACCGGCTTTACAATGTTAATCATGTTCAATTTATTTCACAAGATTTAGTGAAACGTTTACGAAACCATTTTCAGAATATTAGTCATAATCATAATAGAAAAGATGATGATGGAAATGGAAATGAAATTTCTGCATCTCCACTGGTTGAATCGTGGTTAGGTCATCGAAAAAATCAACATTCAATTTCATCTATCATGACAAATGTTTCACAATCTTCTTCTTCTTCTGATGATGATGATGATTGTGAGAGTGATATTTCATGTTCTGCATCGCAAACCAATCTTGATTCTCCAACACTTCCAAATGATGATAATAGACCAATTTTAATGAAATCAAAATTTTCATCATTTATTTCAAATTCAAATTCTAAAACTCAACAATTATTACAGAATTTGAATCCATTTCTGAAAACAACCGATTCACCATTTGCAAATGTTTCTGAATCACAAGTGAACAATGACGACGACGACGACTACAACGTTGAAAAACAAGTGATTGGTCCGATTCAATCAAAACTATCTGCAGCAACCAAAGCAACAATAATCTATCCATTGGCATCACATTTAGCTGACGTGGATTCAGAGAAAAATCTGATTGAAAATTTGGCCAGTTTTATATTGACCACACTGTTGAATGATATTAATCGTGGTTATCAGAATCAATTTTCACCATCGTCATCGACATATGAATCATCAAAATTATTATTGATACAAAATTGTCAAACAATACGTTCATTTTTGAATGAAATTTTGGCCAAAATTCTTTACGATACAATCGATCTGATTACACAACCAAAAATGATTAATTATCAAATTGTTAAAATATTGAAAAAATATTTCCTACTCAAAGACATACTTTTCTACGATACAATTCAGCAACAATCTGATAATAACAATAACCAGGATTTAAAACAACCAACAGAACTTGATGATAATTATGAAGATTTCGTTTCCGGTTCAGATTCTTATGATGATGATGATGATGACGACGATGATGGTAAAAATGACGAATATCTTGGTGGTAGAAAAAATATTTTCATATTAAATGAAGCAAAACAATGTATCATGGCAAACGATTTTGATCATCTATATGAATTGATTGATAAATGTAATAATGTGAAATTATTGAAACATATCCGTTTGAAATTGATTGCCGAAATATTGGATGCAGCTGTTGTTTCACATTTGGATCATCATCATCGAATGATCAATACAATTGATGAAAAACGAGGATTTTCACGACAGCAGCAACAACAACAACAACAACATCGTTCAACAACCAATGACATTTATCAATCATCATCAGACCCAAGAGAATGTTTTACATTTAATGGTCAGATAAATTTAAAATTTAAAAATTTAAACAAGAAAAAAATATTAAACGTTTGATTACGCGATTACGGTTTGCAAAAACATTGTGTGAACAGAAAATTCAGATACGTAAACGAACGTTGGCTGAATTGCTGCCGGTGACCCAAGCAGTGGGTCACCACCATCATCATGATTATTCTGATTCATCATTTGATGAAGTTAAAATCTTTGATCAACAAGATGATGATGATGATAACCACTATGAACAATCACCAACGTCGAAACAATCAAAAACAAAATTAATTCGTCATTTTAGCTATGATGATTTGTCATTCCAATCTGATCTAGTACGGTCTATTTCATTGGATGATTCATTATTGATTCATCAATTGCCACCGAAATCCAGTGATGATCAATCATCAATCAAAAATCATCATGATAATAGTAATCAATTTCAAAAACCAAAACAGAAAAAAATTTTCAAATTTCATCAAATTATGGCCAACAAATTTTCACGTAATCATTTCAGAACATTTCTACAAAGATCATTACTGCAGTCAGATCCGGCTACTACAAAACGTTCATCATTAATGAAATTTCGTAAAGATGTTTTACTTGTTGATTGTACGGTTTATATGCTTGAATTCTGGGAACATTTGCAGTTGGTATTTCGAAATTTTCAACAATTTTTTCTACATTCACACAACGATGATGAACGAATGCACATTTTACATGAATCATTTGAAGATTCATTTCGAAAAATTTTCTCCATGATTACTGATCAACATTTTTTCTATACATTTTCTAGGCAATTTTTATCGATTTCTTCGGAATTGATGTTGTCATTGGAAAGATTTTTACTTGGTGACATTGAAATTGAATCATTAGATCTTTCAGCAGAACGTTTTGATCTTTATTGTAATAATGATGATGAGAAAGAAACATTTCTATTGAAAACATTTGATGACACAAAAGATGATGAAATGAAGAAAAAATCAACATTTTTCATACTTGAAAGACTCAATTGGCAACAATATTTGGATGTTTTGGTTTGTTTGGAGAAAATTTTATTTGATTGTTTTCATCAAGAATTTTATCCACAATTTCTAATATCACAAGAATATGATCAAATGTTGACAGAATATTTTGAAAAACGTAAATCATCCTCATCATCATCAATTATTATTGATCTTTATGAAAAACTTCCAAGTGAACAATTGTGTAGTTATTGGAAGAATCAAACCAACTCGAAAAAATTCCATAAACTTATGCATGCTATACGTATGCGGCCGATTGGAAAAACATTGCTAACATCAACAATAAATGGTCGTGTGGAAAAAATTGAAAAAAAACTGATTGATCTGCATAAAAATCGTCGTATGTTGTTCAATTCGATTGAGTTTCCATTTTGTTATCTTTCTACGGTGAAATTATTGCTAATTATACGATTACGATTAAAATCGTGGATACGTGATATTATTATGACGACTGCTGCTGATGATGATGGTTCCATACAGAATCAAATTCACAGTGATTTACTTGCGATAATCTCGACTGATATTGATCAATTATCCCGATCGATTAATCGATTACATCGAATATTGGCGCGTACATTTTGTTGGCTGAATGCTGATTTTAGTTGCGTTATAACTGATTCTAGATTTCGTAATGATTTTGCCGAAATATTACAATCATCCACAGCGAATACAGCTGAATCAAAAATAATGGCATTTGTCGAAAATTTATTTGTATCACAATCAAATCAACAACAGAAATCAATCAATCCGTTGAATAATAATAATCATCATCATGGATCATCAAATCCAAATGCAAATTTTCTATTTCAAATGAATATTACAGCATTATTATCACGTTTTCAATATCATCATCATGATGATGGTAATCCATCCAGGAAATTATTACCAATTATTGTACGCAATGATTTAATGTCAAATTGGTCATATCAATGGTCCATCGAATTGACATTGGAACAATTGCAACAATTTTATTCACAATCCATACGACCATTTTTGAGATTCATTTTGTTCCTTGGACGCTATAATCTTCATAGTTATCTTTCCACTATAACTGATCATCTGCAACATCGACAACAAAATGATGGAAAAATTCTTAAATTTTTATCATCACCATCATCATCCACTAGTGTTGTTGGTGATAAAAATCGAAAAATTGGAAAATTTTCCTCAAATTTTGAATTGAGAATTCTTGAAACATTTTTACATCGTTGCAATCAAATCCTCTTGGAGATACGACAACTGAATCGTTCAATGGTTACCGTTATAAAACAGAAGAAAAAACAACAGCCACCGATTACAAACAGTACACTTTTGAAACGGAGAACGACAAAAAATGCAACAACATTGAATTCAATTTCATTTCGAAAATTACTTAAACGCGATGAAACAATTGCATCGTCATCGACATCAGTTCAAATTGATCTGGACATTGGTCAAGATGCAATTGAATTATTTGCCAATGATGGTGGTAATGTTTTGGCCGTCGACAATAAATCTGAAAAATCCGCACAAATCATTGATCAGATGATTGAACGAACGGAAAAATTGTTAAATATTTTATTTCAACAAATCACTGCACAAGAATTGGTTGTCAAATCGATTGGATTTCTACAACTTGTTGGCTATGATTGTGAAGATTCAAAATTGTCAACATCAGCTAAAAATGATATTGATTCCATCCAGTGTATTCGTTGTTTTCTTGTTGATTATCTTTTTGATTTGAATGAAGATTCCGGCCTTAATCAATTGGTTCAGATTTATATGTTTCGTATGTTATTCGATCCTAATAATGATCTGGATGAATCATTGGATCGAATAATTGGACATTTAATTACACATTCCGATCAATCATTATCATCATCATCGAATGAACCGATTGATAATGAAATTTTTGAATCCGAAACAAATGCGAATGATTCTGATGATTCTGCAATAATAAATAAGCACAGTCTAACTAATCGATTGTTTTTTGCACAAATGCGTTCATTATTGATGGAGAAAACATCCCGTGATTGTTTTGATTATTGTCTAGATCAATTGAAAATGTTTGAAAAAAATGAATCATTCTCATGCGAGAATTGTCACCATTCCAAGAATCGAAAGATTTCATTGTCATCGACCACCACCAATAATCAACCATCATCATTATCCACACAACCATCATCGTTGTCGCCAAATCGAAAATTTCGTCTATTCAACGCACAGATATTAGAACAACAAACCGGACAAGATGATCAAGTAACCGTTTCATCATCAACAAATCTTTTCGATACGGTATTTAATACCGGCAATATTGGTATTTTCACCAATCTGTTTCGACAATCATCAACAAAATCTACTACAGCAACAACAAATACCACTGATGATGATGTTGACATCTTGTTGAATGAAGCAATGATTGCTGGATTAAATGATGAACCACCATTACTGTTGATGTCATTAGATGAAACTCAATTATTGGAGCCATTTTTTCAGCTTGTCATTGAGATATTTGAGTTAAAAGGCAATACTGTAACACGCACATTACGGCGTTTATTAATGTTTGTCACACGATTATTTTTTGGTTCATCAAAAATGTCACGTCCATATAAACAATTTCTAGAATCATTATTTACCGAGAAAAATGTTTTCCATTTATTATCACAGATTGATTTACATCTGGAGAAAATGTTGAAAAATTCGCCAGAAAATTTATCATCAACAGAAAATCAACGGAAAAATGAACCAATGGAAAAATCTGAAAAATTTTTCAAACAACAACAAAAACAGCAGCAGCAGCAGAAGAAGAAAATGAATGAAACTAGTCAAATTGATAGCTATCTAGAAGAATTGAATCATTTGCTTTGTTCATTAGAAAATCAACCGCCAACACCTACAACACCGGCAACACCTACAATGATGACGTTTGAAAATGATCCATCAATTCATTCACCACCACCACCGATGATGATGATGATGATGATGGATCAAAATGAATCCAAACAACAACCTCACAGACCATCGTCGTCTTCGTCTTCGTCATCATCATCATCATCATCGGATTCATTAGAAGCAATGATGTCAACAACATCAATGCCAAGAAATGATGAAAAAATTGCAGCAGAAAATATTGGCAAAAAAATCGAAAATCATGATTCATCATCATTAGTTGAAGATCCGGATGAATCGATTAAAGAACGTAAATTACAGATTCTCGCTAAACAGCTTCTGTTTGCCGCTGTACCCACAATCATTAATCATCTTTTTGGGCAACAAAATATTGATCGTGGCCTGAATAAATGTTTTGATATATTACAATATCAAAAACTTAATAAACATCTTATTTATGTAAGTGTGTGTGTGTGCGTTTGTGTTTTGTTTACCGGGAACATTTTTTTCTAATTTTTTTTCTCTCTCCCTCTCTCTTTTTCTTTTGCTTTTAACACCAAAAAAAAGGAATTCATTGAAGCATTCATGTTGGAATATTTTCCAGAATTTCGTAAACTTTCCAAATGAAACAAAAAATTAATCGGTTGATGATAATTAGCGTTGCATATCATTACTGTGATACACTCATTTTCCAGGAATTTTTTTATTTAATTTTATATTGCTCTTGTGTTATTGATTATTATAGATGTGTAATGTTGATAAAAATGTTATTATTTGTATGAATAAATGCAAAATAAAAAACAAAAGAAAACCAGGTTTGATTGTTTCGAGATCTGCTTTTTGGTTGCATGATGAAAATGTTTTCATCAAAATTCAATGTGAACATCATCATCACCGGTCCATTGATCAATATTCAATAGTGGATTATAGCTTAAATCCACATGTAATTGTCTACCATTCGTTGTCGTCGACGTCACATTTAGATTTTGACAAAGTTTCATTATGGCCATCTGATTAATATGTTTGAGATTCATACAAGACAAATCTAACCATCGTACGTTGCATAGATCAATAAATTGATCTTTTTGTTCAATAATAATTGGTTGTCGTTGTTGTTCTGGACTTGTGCAACGATGATTGAATATCAGACGTTTCCATGGTAAACATTTATTGTTCTGATTCCGATTAAATACCGGAATTTGTTGATAATTTATTGAGCTTAAAATTATTGATTGTAACCGAGGAAATTGTGTGTAAAGAAACTAATCAATCAATTAATAATCACTTTTTTAAGATTTTTTTTTTTAGTTTACCTTGAATAGTTGATCCGAATCAATGGCCTTATTGCCGGATAATTCAATTTCAATCAATGATTGAGCTAATGTTGAAGTTAAATTAAAACGATCATCACCAGAAAAACGTTCCAAATGTTGGCAATTAAATATACGAATTGTTTTCACCGGAACCCGTTGAATTTTGGTGAAATTTATTGCAAGGATTTTTGTAAAATTTTCCAAAATTAATTCATCAAATTGAATATCATCAACAGTTTGAGCGATGCGTATCAATATCTGATCCAAATTATTATTAACGATTCGTTCATCACCTTTACAATGGACACTATCTGGTCAAAAAAAAATTGAAAAAAAAGAATTGAAAGAAAAAGAGCCAATTGTCGTTGAAAACTGACCTCAATAGATTTGTTTCTGCATTGACAAAACATTGACATGGTTGTAGAATATTTGCACAGAATTTCTCTTCCGATGCCCATTGATTCATTGATGTGCGGCTGCTAATCGATAATGATTGAATCGAATCAATTACTATTGTTGAAAATAAACCACATGATAGTAATAATCTAATGGAATTCATAATCATAAATTTTATTTTTGAACAAAAAAGCCAAATTTTCAAAAAAATTTTCACATATGAAATGCGTGTTTGTTTGCTGTGTGTGTGTGCGTATCTCACATCAAATTGAACAACAAAAACAACGACAACAATAAAAAAAACCACTGCTGCTTTGTATGGATCAATCAATCAATCAATTTTTCTCGTTAAAATGGCTGTTTATATTAGCATATCATTGATTGATCGCCATCGATATCATCATCAAATATGATAGATTCGATTTTTCGTTATACGATGCATCACACAGACACACACATTCCATTGATAGACAAAGATAAAATTTATACTTTATTTTGTTTTTCATGTTTGTGTTTGGATATTCGTGTGATAGACATTTTATCACATTGGAACAAATTATTATTGTATGTATATGTGTGTGTATGTGTGCCTGTGTATGTCTATGATTTTATCAGTTTTTTTTATGATTGACAATTGTTTTTACTATACATCAAGTGATTATCAGTTTTCGTTGATAAAACCAAACATCATCTTTCTCTTCAAAATAAAAAAAATGACTAATCCCTAAAGTTGCAGCAAAAAAAAAAAAAAAAATTGTGAACACAAACACACACAATTGTTCTAATCTAGAAATCCAGTTGATGTGTTTTCTGGAATGTAAGTTTTTGTGAGTGGGTGAATGCTTAAATTTTTTTTTCTTTTTAAAATGTCCTGTTAATGATCAAGATGATTGTGTGATTGATTGATTGACACAGAAAAATTTTAATTTTTTTTAATTTCTGTTCAATTTAAAAAATTGGAAAAAAGGTTTTGACTGGTTGTAACCAGATGGCGATACGTACACCATGTTTTTTCAATTATTTGATTTCGATAACAATTTTTTTTTTTTTTTTTTGGTTTCATTTTTGATGTCACATGCAGTGTAAAAATATTACTTAGATGAATGATTCATAAAGTCGATCAGCCGCATCCACTACTATCCACAGAAAATATTAAGATGACAATGGCTATCTCTATCTTTATCTCTCTCTCACTCACACACGCACATACACATTGGGTTTAGATGGACACAATGGTACGGTACATATAAATGATTCCGCTGGGTGGTCCCATTATTATTTATCATCTCAAAACAACAAAAACGAACCAAAAAATCATCTTTATTATCATCATCATCATCATTATTATTCTTATTAGACAAAGTATAAGATAAGACGACGATGAAATGATTCGCACACCAACCGTGTGCATGCATTTGGTGTGTGTGGGTGGGTGGATGGTGGTCATCATCAATGATGATGATAATGGAAAACGACGACCGTATGTTATATGGATGATTTTTTTTTCATAATCCAATCGGTCGATCGGTAAAGAGCTTTTTTTCCATTGTTTTTTCTTCTTATTTTCAAGACAAATTGATGAAAAAAAAATTTTCCCTAATTCTTTTCTTTTCTCTCTCTTTTTGAAACCTTGTGGAACACCACCACGGTTAATGGATTCAAATGACGACGACGACGACCGGACCACTTGGTGGTTGGTCTCTTTTCTTAGATCAACACCATATACACACAGTGTGCCTTCTTTTGTGTGTGTGTGTGTGTGTTTGTTTAAATAATGCTATTACCGATTAAGATATATACCGAAATCAAGAAGTGTACTGATCATTTCAACAACTGCAAAAACAACACACAAAAAAAACCGAAAATTCAATGGAACAAAAAATAAAAAAAAAAAGTTTAAAAGAATTTCTCTGTAAAATGTGCGTGTGCGTGTATGATCCATGATAATGTATCGTGGACAAGTCCAAATCGTATACAATCATCTGCTAATAGATAGATAGAGAGAGAGAGAAGAGGGTGCTATATCAAGAATGAAATGATGAAAAAAAGAATGAAAAAAAATTGGAAATTTCAAAATTGCTACACGCATGCGTATTCATAACAACGAAAAAAAATTGACACATTGGATTTGATTTTTACATTGAACACACGTCGCCGTCGTCGTCGTCGTTCATCGTACGACGAACTTTGGTGATGGCAGTTAGCAGTAGTAGTGGGTTCTTGTTTTTATGATGATGATGATGGGCAAATGAAAAAAAAATCGGTGACCTTCTTCAACTAACAAAAAAAATATACCCCTAGTATACATACAAATCATCTGGCAATCACACTACCACCGCAACCATGATCGAACCGCGCCTTTTCTTCTTTTTTGCTTCTGTCACTTGCCACTACTATTAACCATATATTGTGTATGTTGACCATTTGTCGATGGCTACAAATTTTTTGCTAAAATGTGTTTGTGTGTAAAAACTTATTATCATTCATCTTAGCTGCTCTCAAACACACTTATGTGTGTGTGTGTGTAAATGAAATTTTTCTTTGTTCCTTCGTTTGTGGCATGCGTGCTTTGATGTGATATTTTTGTTTTTTTTCTTTTTTGAGCTTTGATCGACCACCACCGCTGAATCACCAATCAACACTAAGTCACACACTTCTATATGCTTCTACCAAAATGTTTGTATCATGGATTTCACATTTTTTTCTGCTCACCCTCTCTCTTTTTTTTGTAGATATTTTTGAGCATAAGAATGAGGTAGGATTTCCAGAAATTAAAAAAAAAACAAAAAAATATTGTCTGGCTATACCACTACTATGAAAATATTTCTGAAACAATCTCAACAACATAAGGCGAAACCAAACTCTCTATTTTGACACACACGCGATGGAATCGACGTCTACTCCGATTTATTATTATGCCGTGATGACCACCACCATACACTTTTATGGCGCGGCCTATTGATATATCATCATCTCAAACAACGGCGACGACGACGACGACGTTGAATTTCCGACCAGAAAATACTTCAATTTTTTTCACTCCTTCATTTTTACATTCTGTCCACGCCACCGTTTTTTTTATTGGTGATTATTCATGGATCCTTTGGCCAAATAAATTACAATTGTCATCATGTTAAAAATGGAATGAAAAATCAAATCAATTGGTGGGTGTGTGTGTGTGTGTGTGTGTTGAGTTGTGTTAATGTTCCAATTGGAAATTTTATTGAAAAAATATTGTTTTTAAAAATGAAATAAATTCATATCCAATGGACAATGTCCATTTTCATTGATTTTTTTTATTAGAAAAATTACTTTCAACTTGAAATAAATTCATTTGAAAAAATACGTCTTATTTCATTGTTGTGTGTGTGTTTTGATGTCACACACATCTTGACTCGATCAATTTTTTTTTATTTTGTTATTGTTTTACTCATCATCATCAGAATCTCTAATAGCAACCCTACAAAACAATTAATAACATAAGACGTTACCGTATACTGTTGTTGTTGTTGTTGTTGGTGGTGGTGGTGGTGATGGTGACCTAAGCCACAACGATTGTGTTGTTTTTTTTTTTGGTGTTTTGTGTGCGTGTTTTTTTTCCAGTGCCAAAAATCAATCAATCAATTTCAGTGTTTGTGTGTATGTGTGTTTTTATTGTGATTTTTTTTTTCTTGATATTGATCATCATCGAACATTTTTCATCGATTTTTAATTTATTCATTTTGGCCCATTATTAAAAATTATAAAGGGTAAGTTTTTATGAAAATTGAAAATTTTTGAAATTGATTTGAATGAAATGAATGAATGAATGCGGCAATAACTGGTGAAAAAAAACAACAAATGTCCTTATTTGGTTCAAAATAATTCGTGATTTCAACTTGTTTTTGTTTCTGTTTTGTTTTTTCGATATTCAGCCGGAAAATCTTTTTGTTTATATGTGTGTTTGGTTGTTTTGTTTTGTTTTGGTTGGTTTGGTTTATTGGTTGGATCAAAAACAACAACAACGACCACCAATTGATCACAATTGATATGATTTCGCTGGTCATCATATAACAAGGGTGGGTCATCTGTTTTTTTTTTTTTTTTGATTTGAATTTTAATTCTATTCAAATTGTTGAATGTTTTTTTTTGCACACATTCAAAACGTTTCAATTGTAATAGAGTAATTTGCGGTTTTTCAATTTAATGATGATGATGATGATTACAATTGGAATAATGATGACAAATATCCATCATGATAATATGGTTGGTATTTGTTGTCATTTCATTCATTTTTCACTTCCGTTCAACATCCACATATGATTGGTGATGATTGTGACATTTTTTTCACCACATCATTTGCCACCATAATTGCCACAAAAAAATGTCTTCAATATTTTGATCATTTGTTTGTTTGTTTGTCTAAAATTTCTTTCTTACTTAGATTAGAGATATAGAACAATAATGACGATATGGTACTAATAATGGTTAGTAAGTTGTTTTTTCCTATCCAGGTATAGATTAAACAAATGCAATAATTTGAGATGATCCAAATGGGACGCTTTTTTAATCAAGCCAAAAAATGGTTAATTTCTTTCTTTGGTGCAATGGTAATGATGATGTTATTTGCAATGTAGTCGTTCACTCTTTTGACAATTAAAAAACCTGCCATGGTTTGACTTTTTTTTCTGTTTTTGTTTTTGATTGATTGATTGATGATGCAATCGATCCATTCATTCATTCATTCATTGTGTTTTTTTATATTCATTTCGGTCCATCAATTGATTGATTGAACATAACCTGAACTTCTGATCAAATCTGTACAAATCATCATCATCATCATTCAAATTATTTCAGAGAAAACAGCATGATTTGGTTTGAAATGAAAAAAAAAATTTAAAATTTCGACAAAATTTGAATAAAATATACATACTGTGTGTGTGTGTATGTTCCGCACATTTTGCAATATATAGGAAACTGTGAAAAACTAACACTTTAGTTCTAAGTAGTTTTTTTTATTCGACTTAACACACCGTTCGCAATAATAAAAGTTTTACCTTTTTTACAACTTTCATTTTTTTTTTTTTGTATTCATCGTTGTTATTGTTTGAGTTCATCAGATGGATCATTATGGATTTCTATCCATTAAACAGCCACAATGATCCATTGTAGAGTGATGATGATTTTTGATTTAATCTACGATAATAATGATCATTCATTCATTTAATCAATCAATCAATCATCATCATCGTT